CAAAAAAATCAAGTTCACAGTTTAGTGAGAGACTATTTAATCGAAAATGATGAAACGTGTTTGTTCAAAAATGGAACGCCTGGTCAAAAATGGTAAAAAGATTTTTGAGTCGATGGCACTCAGAAATAAGCAAAAGAAAAACTACAAGCATCGCATCTTTAAGAGCATGGTCATGCACTCCAGAAATTATTGTCCGTTATTTTGTTGTTTTAAAAAAACATTTTAATTTAGCAAAAATAGGTTTTAATAAAACCATGCATTTGTGGAATTGTGATGAAACTGTTTTCAATGGTGACTAAGGCAATGCGAAAGTAATTATCAGAAGAGGAGCAAAGCGTCCACCAGTATTGATTGGAAATAATGAAAAAATAAACTACACTGTTCTCAATTGTGTTAATGCTGATGGATTCCTTCTACCTCCTTTTGTTGTTTACAAATCAAAGAATCGACTCAATAATGATTGAATTAAAGGAGGCCCACCAAACACACTTTACACTACATCGCCATCTGGTTGGATGGAAAGGAACCAATTTTTGCAGTGGCTCGATGAAATGTTTATTCCTCACATTTAATTTTAATTCCAAAACGCTTACAAGCATACTGCAAAAAAAGCCAGAAATGTGAGAACAGTAGTTGTTCAAACTTTTAAAGAAGAAGTATGGTTAAACAAGTTAAGAGAAGAAGAAAACGCAAAGCTATTAAACGAGCCTATCTTGAAATTGCAGAAGTAGAAACTCCTGCCAAAAAAGCTTAAAAAAATACAAAAAATGCAAAAAGTGTCCAAAGAGTTTCGAATATGAAACGCCAGAAATGCAAGTTTTATGGAAAACTTGTAAAAAATCTAGTTGCAGTTTGTGACTTTGTGAACCGTGTCTCCTAAAAAGATATATAAAAGGTGAAGAATTCTTTTGCACAAAAAGTTGCAGAACCTAGTTTATAAATTTTTCTATTTATTTTAAGCTCAACCTTGCTTATATTTTTTTATTTACTTTTTTCCAGTTTTTTCTGCTCGTATTATTATTATGTGTATATTTTAACTATAAAAATATTGAATATATCAATTTATCTATATTTTTTTTTCATATAATTCGGAACCACCAGCTTTTAAGGACAATTTTCCGAAAAGCGGACGCTTTTAAAAAAAAAGAAAATCTTATTTTCCATAGATTTTAGATTTTTAGATTTTTTTTTAACACTGAAGAATTGCTTTAATAATTAACTATATTTTATATTATATATATATATATATATATATATATATATATATATATATATATATATATATATATATATATATATATATATATATATATATATATATATATATATATATATATATATATATATATATATATATATATATATATATATATATATATGTATATATATATATATATATATATATATATATATTTATATATATATATATATATATATATTAGTTAGTATAAAAAATGATTCTAAAAGGCGTTACTTCAACATGATTAATTCGAAAAAAAACGTCCAGCAAAAACTTAAATATATAATCGATGATAATGACTTTATTAACGTAGAACAAATAACTGAAAAAGCACGCGAAATTATGTTTGTAAAATCAAAAGACAGATTAGTTTAAAAAGTTTAAAATTCTCCAGAATGGCTACGAAAGGAATATAAAAACAACAAATTATACAAAGAACCCAATGTTAAATCTTTGCGATACCGAGATTCCTGAAAATCAAATCAAACTTCTAAATCTTGGTCCAAACTTTGTACCTTCGTTAAAGTCAATTGTTAACAGAATATATTGTCAAATGTAGCCAGGTTTTTTATGGATTAGAAATTGAAATAGTGCAATTACTTTCAAATTTGCTGAACAAAATAAGCTGAACCATGAATTCAATAGGACAACCCTATTGGCAGGCAAAGACTGGTATTGTTCTTTCATAAAAAGACATTCAAATATTTTATTGAGAAAACTTGAGTCCACTTCGTTAAAGAGATTAAATGGGTTCAATGAAAAAGAAGTGAAACTGTTTTTTGAAAATCTGGAAAATTTACAAAAAACTTATCACATAACAAATCAACATTATACATATGACCCTAATCATATGTATTATGTTGATGAGACGGGTATTTCGAATGTTCAACGAAATTCAAAAATCTTAACCCCTTTGGGCCAAAATCATGTTAGGATGGCAACTAGTGGGGAAAAGGGTTCAACAACTACAGGTGTTTGTGCATTCAGTGCTTCAGGAAAGTTTATTTCTCCATTTTTTGTATTTAAAAGAAAGCGAATATGATCAGTTGTTGCGGGGAGACAATGCTAATATGCTTGCCACAGTCAGTAACTCAGATTGGATCAATGAATATTTATTAGTGGACTGGCTCAATCACTTTATCTCATTTACTTAATCCATTAAAGACAAACCTGTATTATTAATTCTAGATAAACATGAAAGCCATATCAGTCTTGATTGCTATCTACTCTGTCGTGGAAATGGAATTGTATTGTTTTCCATTCCACCACACACTTCCCATCGAATGCAACCATTAGATTTAACATACTTTGGTCGGCTCAAATTTGGATACAACAGGGAATGTGACATTTTTATAGCAGCAAACATAGGGCTAAGAATTACACAAGCTTTCAATAGTCTTAGCAATATTGAAAAAGTAGCCAATAGATTTTGAGCAGCTGGTACTTTTCCGTTAGATACTACAAAATTTAATGATTTATTTCTAATCAGTATTGTTGAACCTGAAACCTCATTACTTGATAACATTCAGAGTTTAAAATCCCAGGTAAACGCAATGAATCAATCAGAAACTCAAGCTGAAGTGTTAGTCAATCTGTTTTTGAATCCTTCTAGTGTTGGCCTGTCACCTGATGTGAATGTAGCACCTGAACTGGTACCAATTAAATTAAATCAATCAATATCTCTTTTAAATGTTGTCTCTGTACCTCATTTATCTAAAAAGAAAACCAAAGAAAGTCTAAGAAAGAAATATTCGACTATTATCACTAATATTCGACTATTATCACACGAGAACTTAATCCAGTGGGTGAAACATAAAAATGCTTCATACTTCATTTCAATATTGAGAACAAGTTTGCCTGCTTTTCTGCTTTGCAGTTTTGAACTATTTATAATATCAAAAACACAATCAATATATGAAAAACCATCACAAACGTAATCAATAAGATATGATGATGGTATAAGATATGATGATGGTATCAGCTCACATCTTGATAAAACATTCAAATAAAGTGTATCTTGTAAATCTATTGTAGTATTATTACAAATGCAAAATTTTTTGCAATAATCTCCAAACCTTTTTTACTAACTTTTTTGCAATATACTCAGAAATATACGCTGCAACTTTACGAGATTCATCAAAAAGTATAATTTTTTCAAAGTTAACACCTTTTATTTCATCTAAAATTCATTTAAATGTTTCGTCTTATCGGCTTTGATACTGTTTTCTATAATATTGATTGATTCTTTTACCAAATTTTCTATTTTTATTTTTTATTCTTTCACTATATAAAACATCCTTTACTAGAAAACGACCATCACTTGTTCGGCGATATTAGCCAAAACGCCTTTCAATAGGGTCACAAAATTTTATTGTAAATTCTAGGAGCTTATCTCAAATTTGCATCGAAGTTTTCATCCTTTTCATAAACATCTTGCAACAGTTTCCAGGAAATTTCACCAGACTTGAAAGTAATATCACAAAAAAAAAAAAAGTTGAAAGCATGTTTTTCTTACTAAGTTTACAATTGTTCCCATGTCTGAACTAATATGGCAAAGATACAGGAAAACCTTAAAGAAACAATTTCAAGTGCAAGACTGCCCTAATTATCATTAGAAAGAATTTTTATATAGTTTTAAAATTCCAATCATCAACGTACCAGCATGGCCGAATAGTTAACGCGTTGAGGTTCTAAAGAAATATGCTGAGGTTCCAGTCGAACCACCGGCGACTTTTTTTTTTTTTAATTTTTAGATTTTTAAAATAAAAAATACTTATGAAGTTTTATAAAAACACATCCAACGATATTATATACTTTAACAAACAAATTTTTTTTTTAAAAAAGCTAAAAATTCTAAATGCATTTAAAAACGGGGGGATATTTGTTGCGTATGTGTCATGATTAAGATACTTAAGTGGAACAGACTTACAAAGAAACGTATTTTTTCGGGTCAAATCCCGTAGTTAGTTGATAATAAATGTTTGTGATTACACCACGGTATGTTCGGAATTACCCCACGTAAGTAGGGTATTCGAAATTTTAATTTCTGAAATCGTGTTGCTATTTACATTTTTGAAATCATGGTGCTATGAATTCATTTAAATAATCATTAAATCAATGCAATGATATGTTTTTAATTGAAACTAGTAGATAACGCAACGTAGCATTTTTGAAGCATTGCACATTGAATTTTTTTTATATAAATATGCCGTTTTTTGAAAAACGATAGCAATGTAAACCCACATTACCCCTTCTAAATGGGGTAATGAGAGTCTATAGAATACACCCTACCCTATGCTATATATTCAACTAATGTTTATATTTTGTTGCGCGTTCGTAATAAGTTTTTGTAGATTAAAAAACATAAAGAACACATTAGTTAAAGTAACAATGTTAGACAAGAGTTTTTTTAATTTGAATAAAAACTATAAAGTTTTTAAAAGAAAAATAAGAATACGGATAAAATTTTAAAACTAACAATTTATTTTAAAACCTAAAAACTAAATAAACTTTAAATAAGGCAATTAATATTAAATCAAAAATTAGCTCAAGAATTGAGTCTAAATTAAACAAAAAATGAAAGACTAAATCTAAGAATTGTTCTGAATTTTCAAACTTTATTTCTAAAAAAAATTTTTATACAAGGTGAACAGGAAAAATACCTTCCAGAAGCAAGACGCAGTTTTACATCTAGTGCGTGTGATAAGTTTAACTTTATATAATTTTCTAACTTTATTTCTAAAAAACTTTTTTATACAAGGTGAACAGGAAAAAGACCTTCCAGAAGCAAGACGCAGTTTTACATCTAGTGCGTGTGATAATTTTAACTTTATATTTAAAGATTTCCACAAAGCAGGCTATATTACTATGCTAAGTGAAGATTTTCCAGAAAAAGGTGCGTTCCATTTGCGTCTGAATGGCTTTGTTAATAAACCTACATCATGGTACCTCCGTCCATTTTGGTTAGCGCAAACTCCATCACCTAAATGCGACGTCGAATATAACAACATACTTCTGAAAACGTTTACAGAAACTTTTGAAGATATATCAAAATTTTCTTTTGTTATAAATTCAGAAATTGCGCACGATAATATTAATAAATTAAAAGTAATTGACGACGATATTTTAGAAGTTATCAATTATTTTAAAATGCCTGTAAGAATCAATCATACAGTTCTAATAATATTTGGAGATCATGGTGAACGAGTGACTGACTTCCGTTTAACTACTCAAGGAAAACTAGAAGAAAGATTACCTTTTTTTTCAATCACCTTGCCTGTAATTTTTAAAGAAAAGTATCCAAAACTGTTTACAGCTTTGAAAAAAAATTCGAACGTTTTAACCAGTCACTTTGATATTTATGCAACATTGCAACATATGATGAGTTATCCAGATTTACCAGAAAAAAAGTTTATCGGACAAAGTTTATTTACTGAAATTAACCCCGAACTTCGAACTTGTAAAAATAGTGGGGTTGCTGATCATTGGTGTCCTTGTTTAAATTATAATGATGTTCCAGTAACAGATGCAAAAGTTAACTATGTTGCACAATCGGTTGTCGATTTTATAAATAAACTACTTAGCAAAAACGAAAAAGCATCCAGACTCTGTGCATACCTAACGTTAAATACGATTATATCCTCTAGTTTAAAAACTCTCAAAAATGAAGTCAGAGATTTTCAAAAAACAAAGAGAAACCATGAGTGTGATTCATGTGGAGTAGTTTACTATTTTTCAAGTGCTGCAAAAAAATACTATGAAGTTGTTTTTACTGTAAATCCTAGTAATGGAACATTTGAAGCAAATGCTGATGTTTTATCTGATAATAAAATAATCGTTGATGAAAACATCAGCAGAATTAATCGTTATGGAAACCAACCGTACTGTATTATGAATGAGTTTCCTCATCTACGTCCCTACTGTTACTGCACGTAACACACTTTGTTATCTTTATTCAAAAATAATAATTTGAAATAAGTAATCCGTTTCTATTTAATTGAACTTTTTTGAATTTTAAAAAACTAAATATATATCTGCGTGTACGTCCGATTCTGTTTTTGTTCTATTATTTAAATAACTTTAAATCTTTTAGCAAATATTATATAGTTTTTTCCTAAACAAACTAAAGCAATTTTTAAACAAAATTTTTAATTTTACTTTTTTATAATTAAGTGTTTGAAGTTTTAACTGATTAAAAGAACTTTTTTTTCTATTTATAAATTTTAAACAGTTTTAAAATTACAAACTTAAGCACAACATTTCTGAATAACCTTGACTTATTGCACTTATTTTAGATATATATTGCCTTATTGTATTTTTAGCAACTATAATTGTATATTGTATATGATGCATCGAAACCACGTCTTTAGTACTTCCGTGAACAAAACAAAAAAGGAAATAAACTATTTTAACTATCAATCCATCAAAAGGTGATGTAATGATGTTTAAAAATTTTAATCAACTGCAAATATAATATATATATATATATATATATATATATATATATATATATATATATATATATATATATATATATATATATATATATATATATATATATATATATATATATATATATACATATATATATATATATATATATATATATATATATATATATATATATATATATATATATATATATATATATATATATATATATATATATATATATATATATATATATATATATATATATATATATTATAAAAGGTATTCGTACAATTACTAAAATATTTTTAAAGGACATACTTATTTCGTTTTGTTAAACTCAGGGAACAAAAACAACAGACTGTATAAATCTCAACTTTTAAGTAATTATTAATGCGAATTTTAAACAACAAGCAAAACATATGTAAAGTTGAGCGTTTGAATGCCACATTAGTAATTATAACCTAAATATTTATAACATAGAATACTTTTTTTTTAAAGAGTAAAAACTTCCAGAGTCTACCCTCCCCCCTCCCCTTTTCCTATAAAATTATGTTACTATTTGATACCCCCCTTCCAAATAAACTAAAAATGGAAAAAAAACATTTTTTTCTTTTAGTTAAGTAATTAAATTTATTAAAAAAAGTAACATTATTGACGTCATTTTATTTTACCTTTTTCCCTCCCCTTGTCAGCAGTTGTCAAAGGTTTTTACACCCCCTCTTCACTGATGATGATATAATTAATGGACAGCTCCTAATGGTCTTGTCGCAGAACACCGCGGAAGGGCTTGAACGTATAACATTCCATGTTTTAATTCATCAATAGGAAGAGCATATAATATAAAATCAATGTTACAACTTATCAACAACATTAAAATTAAAACTTTGTAGGTAATACAGAATGAACTTCAAGTTCTTCTACGGTTGCAGTGGTATTGACAAGACTATTGTCAAACTCTTTGTTTTAACAATTAGCCAGAATAGTAAGCGTTGCTTCCACAAGTTTGGTGGCCACGGAAATATTAATTTGAGGTTTCTACAAAACTTCGGTCTCATTTTTCAATTTCATTAACAATTCATGCCAAATCACAAAAAAGACAATGAACGAAAACGAAAAATTGTCGTCGACTATGTTCTGTCCTTCAGAAACTGATGCGCTTTCACAAATTCCAAGCAAAGTGTAGTGAACTTCTTTGAGTTGGAAAAATAAATAGGGTAGATTAAGGTAATATGAGCACCTTGGTAATATGAGCATACTTAAAGATTTCTTAGATGTAAACAGTGAAGTTAAAAGTTCCTTTATATTTTTTGAATTGACTTTTACTGATAACAGGAATCAGTATATTTAGCGTAAATTTATATGCAATAATTAGTGGCTATCATCTAATTGAAACGCTAAATAATATCATGATGCATTAATAAATCTGTGGCGTGAAATTATAGTGGTAGTAATATATTTGAGCTGTGACAGAAAATTCTAGGGTTTGCAATCCCGGAATCCCAGCCTTTTTTATAATCCCCAAAAATAACGGGATATCAATCCCGTCTAATATCAATCCCGGGATTCCCTCTACGATCGAGCAAAACAAAGGGGAAATCAAAAAATATACAAAAATAACAACAATTTATGCGCATCAATATAATAATTTTTATTTTTTATAACATCTAAGTAATTCTATTTTCAGTTATTCTTTTCTGTAATTCTGCAAAATAAACTTTTATAAACAAAAAAAAAAAAAAAAAAAAAAACGCTTTAAATTTACAGCGTTTTTTTTTTTTTTAAGTTTATAAAAGTTCATTTTGCAGAATTACAGAACAGAATAACTGAAAATAGAATTACTTAGATATTATAATAAATAAAAATAATAATATTAAAAATAAAGATACTTAGTGTGTATTGGGAATTTTCAAATGATTTTGAAATTTTGCGTATAAATTGAATGATTGCATGTTTCGTGAGTTGTGTTTTTTAAAAAAAACACAACTCACGGAACATGCAATCATTCTTTTTTGACCTATCCAAGGCTTTTGATACAGTAGATCTAACTATCTTACTGCATAAGGTTAAATATTATGGTATAAACGAAGAAACTCTAAAGTGGTTTAAAAGCTACCTATTAAACCATAAACAATTTGTTTCTTGTAAGGATGATTATCAAATTTATTAGATATATCTTGCGGTGTTCCTCTATATTGCTCTATATTGGCTCTATATTGCTCTATATCTATAAAGGCTCTATATTGAGGCACATTACATGGAAACATCACATTGATCACGTATGTACCAAGATTTCTGAAAATATTGGAAATTTATATAAATCTAGAGATTATCTAAATAAAAAAAGCTTGATCCAACTCTATCACTCGTTTATCCATAACAATATAAATTATGCAAATATTGCTTGGGGAATACTGGAAAGAATAAGTTGAAACGTCTTTTTTCTCGTCAGAAACACGCAGTTCGTATTATTGATTTTTTCGATAGTTTTACTCATTCAAAACCTTTATTTAACGAAATCAGATTACTTAATATTAATGAAGTAAATTTATATAATACTCTATGTTTTGCATATATGTGGAAAAGTAACTTATCTCCTGACGTTTTTAAATTTTTTTTTACTTTGAAGCTGGACAATAAGTATGCACTGAAAAATAATAGTTGGTTAAATCAACTTTTGAACCAATATTAATTTGTTCGAACCAATAATTTGTTAAATCAACTGTCGAACCAAGTTAAATCAACTTTGCATTAATTATCGTGCACCTAATATTTGAAAAATAGTTATTTTGCAAAATTTTAATCTGCCTTCCTCGTTTTCTATTTTTAAAAATAAGCTTAAAAATCTAATTCTTTTAATGGAGAAAGTTTTTCTTTATTACTAAAAGTGTTTTGGGTTTGTCTGTTTATTATTAAAACTGAGTTTACCTAAGTATTTAGTTGCATTGAGATTGTACTGAAACTGATTGTTATAAATAGATGTATAAATATTTATTATTTGAGTTTGTATTGTATATTGCTTTGTATTTTATATTGCTAGTGTGTATACTTTTTCAGGTTTATTTTAATTTTTATTTAGTATTTTGAAAAAAAAAATTATTACGGTTTTTATAACACAGTGTCACGTTAAATAAGTAGATCGTTTAATTCGCCTTTTCGCTATTAATTTTTCAAATTTCACGCATAAAGCATTATGGGATAACTGAGGCGCAAACAAACCAAAACAATTATTTAACATTACTGTTTTCTACAATACTGTAACAATGTCTGATTCTTCCTCTGATAACGAAAAAATTAAACCATTTATGGATGAAATTAAAAATTGGAATGTTGTTAAACTGAAAGAATTCCTGCAAGCAAGGAGTATTCCTCTTGGTGAAAATCCTTCAAAAAAAAAATTGTTAAAAAACGTTTATTATGCCAATAAACTTAAATTACCATTAAATAAAACTGTACAAGAAGAAACTGAAGAAATTAAATCCAGATCTCTTCAAAAATTAAAATTAAAATCAGGTGTCCAGCTTCCCCATCCTTTTGAAATCGGAAATTGGGTGTTAGAAAAAGAAGTAGTAATAAAATTATTACCAACCACAAACTATTTGGACATTGAAACTTATTCTTTTCTCACTCACAGCTCTAAAGCCTTGAAAGAAGAACATTCTCTTTATTCTTCAGGTCATGTAACCTCAGTTGCTTTTAACAGCTTATCAGATGCTGTAAAATTTTGTTATTTAAAAGGAACTGTAGTCCCTCAAACAAGAATAAATGATGAAGAATATGAATCATGGGTATGTTTGAATAAAAACGGAAGTATATTCACTGCAGAATGCAATTGTGTAGCCGGTTATGGAGAAAGCTGCAAACATATATTTGCTTTGTTGTTGTTTGTCGAAGAGCATGTGCGATTAGGAGATAATGTAACATGCACATCAGTAAAACAAAAGTGGGGGACTAAAACACAGAAGAGAAAATTGCATGAGCCAGATATATTTCAAAATATTTCTATTAAAAAAGTCAAATCAAGCTTAGAAAATAGTAATCTAAAACTCAGTCGATTCTTATATGATCCTCGTCCTTATTATTTAAAGCAGTCAGAGTTTACAAAGGAAGATTGGGAAGCAGTTGCAGAAGCAACAGATGGAAAATGTGCTGTAATTTGCCTCAAGCCAAATATACAGTCAGAATACTTTATGAAAAAATTACCTTTAAATGCAACTAAAAACAAAGTGCTACCACCTACCATAGAGCATTATGTAGCTCAGATAGAATGTTCTTATAAGAATGAATCAATAACATTTAAATGTGAAAAATTTTTAAGGACGTTTTCAATAACACCATCTCAAGCAGAACTTATAAAAGAAGCTACGATATCTCAATGAAAAAGTTTACTTTGGAAATCATATAGAGTTGGAACAATATCATCATCTATTGCTCATGCTGTCATAGCAAAATTTGATGTTGACTTGAAAGTGAAAAACAAAAAGGCAGCATTTAATTTATGTGCTCAAATTTTATGTTACAAAAATAATGCTAAAAGTAAATCAATTCAATGGGGTAACATGTTTGAATCCTATGCTCGAAAAAGATATATCAGGGAAATGAAAAAAACTCATAAAAACTTTACATGTTATCAAACCGGCCTAATAGTATCCATCAAAACACCTTATCTTACAGCAAGCCCAGATGGTATAACAAGTTGTACTTGTTGTGGGTTGGCTTTGCTTGAAATTAAATGTCCATGGACATTTAGGCAGAAAAAAATATGTGAATATGCTCAAAGTGCTGAAAGTTTTTTTCAAAAAAATTCTTGTACTAACACATACTCACTGAAAAGTAGTCATCAATATCGCACCCAAATACAACACCAGTTGTTTATAAGTGGCTATCCTCATGCTGATTTCTATGTATGTTTAGCAAGTGATCAAAACTGTGAAAGAATTTATTCTGATCCTAACTATAAAAAAAATGAACAAAAATTTCAGAAATTTTTTACTATATCTTTCAGAAATTTTTTACTATATCAGATAAATTCCTTTACAATTGAGGGTTGTAAATTACTTAAAGCTCCACAAATAATATATATGTAATCAATGAGATTTAGCATTGTTAGTGATAACTCGTTTTTACATATTTTAAATTCTTTAAGTCGTCGAATTGATCGCTCCACATGGACTCGTGATCTAGCAATTTCTTTGGCTGAGAGGACTTTAGTTCGTGTAAAATGTAGTCCTTTTTTTTTAAAAGGTGGACAAACCAATACGACTTTTTTTTTTAAGAGCAATTCTTGGATATTAAAACCTTTATCAGCCAAGCAAACAGATCCTTCAGAAAACATATTAATAACATTGCAGTCCTCTGTAATGTGTCTATCTGAAGCTTGGCCACCATAAGCTTTGGAGATAAAACTGAAAGAACCAGTTTTTGTTGTCACAACTAGTTTTTTTAATGTGTTACAACTTTTATAAGTACTAAATGTTTGATACTGTGCCTTCGCATTTGATGGTTTCTGAATTTTTTGCTCAGTACAGTCTATTATACCTTCTACGTTGTGTAACTTTCCAGAAAAATGCCTTGCTTTATATAACAAATTTGCTTCTTTTGTTGGCCAAAGAAGAAGAGGTTTTAACTCATTTCCAAAATAAGTAATCCAGGTAGTTAATATACTTGAGCATTGAGAATTAGAAATTGAAAATCTAAATGCTAAATCTTGAATAGCCAAGTCTAGTCGGAGCTTCATGCACATTAGTAGAATTTCATCCTCAATTGTTAAAGTGCGTTTATTCCCTGGTTTTTTTTTATTCTCGCTTCTAAATTTAAAAGATTGTGAAGGTTTTCCCTTGTAATAACATACATTTTCATATTTTTTCTTTCCTTTACTAACTAAAAACATAAATACTTTTTTTGTGCACCCAGTGTAGAACTTTATCAATCTATCCGAATGGGATAACCTATTCCAAGTAAACTCTGCTTGCGGTATCAAAGAAAACTTACTCAGCAATCGTTTACGATGTTTTAATAACAAAGGTTTTTTTAGTATTCTTTTGGGAGTATTTTGAAGTATTTTTAAGTCTTTTTCTAACGAAACAGAAACAGGAACAACAGGTAATGCATAATCGTGATCATAATGAATATCCATAGGCTGAGTATTTTCATTTTGATGATGATAATCATTATTTTTATCATGATTAATTATATTTTGATCGTGATTATATTCATTTTGATAATGATTATCGCTAAGCTTAGCAACAAACTTTTTCTTATTGAGTTCTGAGGATCTTTTTAATGGAGATTTTCGGTTTTTTAGCTCATTATCATAACCATTTAAATATTCTGTGGGGTAGGGATAAATATTAGTAGGTCGTCCCATTTTAAAATGATTTGAACCGACTGGCGAGTTAAGAGAAACTCTAAAATGACTTCTAAAAAGTCCAATTTTTGAATTCCATTTAGGCAACATCTTAGCGTCCTTGCATCTCCAAAATTTTAGTTGCAAACTACCATTAAAACTGTTAATATGGTCTTTGATAACGTATTTATTTGGATATCTTCTATCGTTGTTGCAGTTTTGAACGACGCAATGATCCCCCCCACCCATTTTATAATTTATATAATTTTATTTTTTCTAATTTATATGTTTTATTTACTTAGTTTTTCTTTATTTATTTTCTTTAATTTACTTAGTTAAAAATTGTTTTGGTTTGTTTGCGCCTCCGTTATCCCATCATGCTTTACGCGTGAAATTTGAAAAATTAATAGCGAAAAGGCGAATTAGACAAAATGATATTCTGCGCATGCGTTACTTTACGGATACTTATTTAACGTAGTAAGTCCACGGCTGTTTCAAACCGAGCTTAACGGCTTCTTGTTAATTTTTGAAAATGTTGACTAAAGGGGTGTTACTAAAACTTTTATAACTTTTGAAATATAAGAGGTAATTTTGTTTTGTAAAAACAATTAAGACATCAATAAAATGTTTTACCTTATGACATTTAATGCATTAGTAGAAAAACTTCTTTTAGTTTAGAATAAATATGACATATATTGAATTTGGCTAAATTTTTGTAATTTGATGTTACTTTTTATCAAAAAAAAAATAGAAAAATATATTCCTAATAGTTATTATCAAATACACTTATTGTTTGACAATAATGAAAACAAAAAAACCTTACTTAATTATTTAAGGTTAACTAAAACAGCCTTAATCGAATTGTGAAAGCAAACCACATTTTTCGCAAAATTATGAAAAACGTCGTTATAAGGGGGGATTAGTTATTAAATGAGTACTTTTTTTAATATAGAAGTTCTTGATTTAGAAAATTATTTTGGAACGCTGATAAAATCATTACATTACAAAATAAAGTTCTAATAATATGGTGTTAGGTAGTTAATAAATAAAAACTCATCAATTCTAATAAAATAATTCATGACCAAAATTGAGTTAAAGGTTTTGAATTAACCTAGCTTTTAGTAGTAGAATTATTTTATGGTACTTGTATCAATAATCTCTTCTCACAAAAAATTAAGTGTTTAAATATACACAAATAGCTGATTTAAATCTTTTGATAATTCGTTTTTATTTTCATTGAAAACTGTTTCATAATTAGTTGGTCCATTGATAAGTTCTTCAAGCAGTAAACTATCTTTGAACACCCAGTTGATACTAGATTCATACATAATTCATTTAAAGCCAGAAGAACATTTGGTCAACTTGGCAATTGTGATAATAAAGTTTACAACTTCTTAATTTATCAAGCTAAATTTTTACACCAACTTGATAAATGAGACTTATGTTCCATTCTTTAACCAGAGAGGAGGTATGTAGAGCAGAGGTCCTGCGAAGGTAGAACTAACTTTTGATGATAAAAATTGAACGGAGATCTAATATATATAAAAAATGTCACATATTACATAACAAAGGATAAAACGTTTTTTGAATTAACTACATAAACATACAAAATCATATCCAACAAACACACCAGTTGCTCTGATCACAAATTAAAATAGTTAGCTATACATTTGATGCTAGACTTTTATTCCATTCTTTAACCTGAGCAAAGGCATTGCATAGATATAATAAACTTTTGAAAATAGGAACAGAATGGGCATCTACCTAATATATAAAATCATTGTAATAAAAAATTATTATTATTTTGAACAAACATTACAGGCATTAAAACAGAATAGAATTCTCTTATTTGTAAATTAAGGATCTTATATAATTTATCTTAGATGTAAAAAGTTTAATTTTTTTTTTAACTTTTCAAACATTTAAACTAAATTTGATGACCACAAACAAGACAAAGACCTTGTCTATAAAATGAATTTTCGCCACGCTCTGAACACAAAACACACTTTCTCACCTTAGAGGCTTGAAGCTTCCTATCAGCTTTGCTGTGCAATTCAAAGCGTTTTAAAACAAGATGCAGCTTTTGCTCCTGATTTCTAACTGAATGCAACTGCCTTAATTCCTTATTTATGCTATTATGCAAACACTCTCCCTCCTCTTCACTCAGCAACCCAATAGTTTTATGCAATTTTACAAATAGTGGCACATTGAAAATGAGTTCATGCATTTTTCGCGTGAAACTTTCTTTTGGAAAGCAAGCATGAAACTCAATAGCAAATAAATTTATATATTGATGAAGCTCAAAAATTTCGGCATCAGAAAGAAATTTTCACTTAAAAAGAATAGGTTGCAAGTTATTAAAAACACTAAACACACGTACAAATCTATTTTTAATTGCTTCATCATCAATAACACTACAAAGTTTATAGTGGTTTCTTAATACTATTTTACAATGATTACCTACAAATACATTACCATGGTAAGCTTGTCGCTCAACTTTCATATCTTCAAGGGCCTTATAAAGAGACCTCTCATGAGTCCCCATGCTACTTATAGATATTTTTTCTAGGTCTTCACACCTAGAAAAAATCTATCTGCAATCGAATATACTCAACATCTAAAACTTCGCGCTGTGCGCGTATAAAAGAAATTTTTTCAGAAATATAAAGGTCAAGACATCTAAATCTTTACCCTGACATGCTAAACACTCATACTTCTCTATATCACACAATACATTCTTTTCCGAACCACCAATAATTTCACAAAATTGATGAAACAATTTTTGGCACGTACCACACTGCACCCAATCAATGTTACAATCATATTTAGTAATTAAACACCTGATACTAGCACACTTTTCTTGCTGTTTACAGGTTTTTTTTTTATTGGAGGAGTTTAGAGATATGCATTCCAATTCAGAAATATTTTTATCAAAAGCTAACCAACGAGTCTGTAGATTTGCAACGTCTACAAATTGATTTCCTAATAAACGTAAAGAGTCTGCTGTTTTAGAACATTCAAAGCTTTTAGCAGCCCACAATTCATTCGTTCTCACATTCTCATTATGCGACAAAGACGAAACAGCTTGACAATCCAAAGTCTTACACTCCTTCAACAATAACTTATAAAGTTTTAACACAACTCCTAACATAATATGCAAAACAGGTGGCACTACATTATCTAAAGTTATTATGGGGAAAATCGCAGGAGCAATAATTGAATTATGAAACTTACCTAGAGCTCTTAGGTTTCCACCTTGTCTATCTTCACACAAGTTCTCATTGTAAGCACTTTCCAAAGATTGTATTGTCCTCCTTAAGATGTTGCAATTAGCAGGTGTGTGAGGCATAGAAGCATGGTTTCTTAGAGAATTCAACTTAACTAGGTCTGTAGAACTAGGAAAGCTAGCAGCTGAACCCTGGTGTCCCAGAACATCATCGATAAAATGAAAATCTCCACCTAAGAACAACCTGACTATTTTGCCTTTTAGCTTAAAATCTGACGACTGAATTCTTTTAATGTCGTTGGCATAATGCCCGAGAACTAAGGCAATATTCTCACGACAGTCTGAACCCTGATACATACAAAATAAATGAACATCATATACAGACCCTGATGATTTAGAATTGACAACTTCAAAATGGAATTTCATATACTTCCCACCCTTATCCCCAGCAAAAAGGAGCCATACCTCTTCGCAAAAACCGACATCAGAATTGAAGTGGTCACGAACGTGCAGACTATTGAAAACCTCTTCAATATAAGTTATCAAATTCTTGACCATCAATACAGGTACTAAACAAGGTGCTTCATTCGCAGATGGATAAAGCAACATGGACTTCTTTACAGTAACGTGTTCTTTACTAACATGCATTGTCCGCATTTCTTGTTCTTGTCTTATCTTGGGCTCAGATGGGAGAATCCTTGCACCAAGATTACACAGAATACGTCTTAGCCTACGGAATTCAGCCGTGGGCATCCTTAATTGGCTCTGCAGCTCTACAGCATCAGAAGCACTTAACTGCCTAACTAAACCCAACTTATTTGCAACACAATGAAACATAGACTTTTCACAAGACACAGAATCACAAAACAACATAGACAAATCACTTTCCAAATCTGAACAAGCTAATAATCAAAGGAATATAAAAGCAAGTTTAGATCGTCTAGCTGCAGCATGCCTACCTAACTTAGAATAAGATTTACCATCTCCTAACGTAATGTAAGTATATTTCTTACCAACTATTGGCTTTTTAACTGATATAGTCTGTGGATTACTTAATTTAAACCCACAGAATAATTCAGAGGAACCAATGTTGTCATAGTCTAAATAAGAATCAACGACAACTAAATCCTTATCACTGCTAGCAAAATATTTGCAAATTTGGCAACTGTTCTTGTTTATATCACTGATTTTTGCATTTTTTTTTTCAAATTTAAATTTTTTTAGCAATCTTACATTTTTGGCACGAGCAGATGCAAATTGAGTGAAACAGCCGTGAGTCACGTTAAATAAGTAGATCGTTAGGGTAAAGTGACCAAATTCCAGCCGCATCTTTACAAAATTGTTTCTACAGACATATTAACAAAGAGGTCTATATGAAAATTATACATTTCTAGAAAGATAAATCTTTCAGCATTTAGGATATACTTACAGCAATTATTATAAATAAAAAATGTTTGATAAAACAACGATTACAAAAAGTATATAAATTTGACCAAAATACAGCCACTATGACCAAATTACAGCCAGGCGTATGCGGAATGAACCTAATTAAATTTGCTTTATTTAAATTAAATTATATTATTATTATAATATCATTATCATTATTTATGCGATGTATGAAAACATATTTGATAACATAGCTAGAGGTACAGAAAATAATTTTTTGATTTTCTTATTCATATAAGGTTGAAGTATTACTAAATCCAAAGACTTTTCAAAAATGTTATGTTTTTTATTCAAAACGAATAAAAACAAAAATATAAATGCATTAAAAACTAACTTTCTATATAAAAACTTGCAAAGTCTGTGGAAATCTAGATAGAACAGACATTCATTAATAACTGTTCTAAATTTCAACCATCGACCATGTAGCTATGTTATCAAATATTATCTTTTGACAATACCGTTGCTTCCTTTATTTTTAAGTTTTGTAGTCTTTTCAATTTACGCATTTCTTTTTCCTTTTCATTTTGAGCTTGTTTTTGCTTCTGCTTTAACTGTGACTCATATGCTTCCTTAGAAG